CCATCATTTGATTTTGGGTTCCCCACTAATTACGATATTGTATAATAACTTCGGTTTTTCTATAGAGTGCCCTTGGGCACTCTATAAGAGAGGAGAGAGATAGAGAGAAATGAATGAAGAGAGGATCCCAATGCAAATCAGGGGGCCCCCCTCCTCATTCATTTCTCTCTATCTCTCTCCTCTCTTATAGAGTGCCCAAGGGCACTCTATAGAAAAACCGTAATAACTTATCACGGATCTGCATTTGGAAGAATAAAATCCTTTAACCCATGAGCTTATTTGGGCCATCAAACTCATGCGTACAATTTTGCACATGACACTCTTAACCTTTTATATTTGCAAGCAAGCCCATATAACCTATGTATACCTATAAATATATTCTTGACCTACCATATGATATTTTTTATATGCACATAAAATCCTCCCTCCCTTCCCTCCCTCCCTCTCTCTCTCTCTATTTCTCCTTCAACAAGTATCTCCTTCAATAGGTATGTCACATTGTTGTCTTCATTGTTATTCTTTAGTAATAATGTGCATTTTGAACGAATAGTGATATTTGTTATTTACTAGCTTGTATGCATATTTTTTCATCTGAGAATGCTTTATATTAATTGTAATGGGGTGTGATCCAAGAAATTATTTTTAATCACAACTATTTAATTTTCAAAAATTTGTATTGATATTCAAATAGATAGTCTGAAGTATTTAAATAAAGATTCTTTTTGGATGGCTGATGAATACATGAAGCAGCAATGAGGTGAAGATGGAAATCATTTTCTTTCCTATAATTTCTATAGAGGCCATAACCTTTTATATTTGCGAGCAAGCCCCAATAACCTATGCATACCTATAATATATTATTGACCTACTACACGATGTTTTTTATATGCACATTATTTTATGTTAACTGCGCCATGACCTATGTGCTAGAATTGCATCAGGTTTTATTGCCCGTCGGTTCATGTTACTTTTCAATTTCCACTCCTATTTCAATTTTTCTTAAAACATTATTAGCAAAACCAAGAAATGAAGGTTTTCAGTATTTCTACTTCAATTGTCCAAACAATTCTAAATGTACAATAAGATGACTTTCATCCTATGAACACACCACATTAAGTAATTTCCAAACAAATAACAGTTTTAATATCTAAAGGATTTGGATCCTCTCCACTACAAAAAAGTAGTGGAGAGACCACTACTTTTAATCTCAAGCGTTGATTATTTAGTAGGCGGTTATGATACAATCTAAATCTAACACTTACCATACCCCTGTGTATTGCACTCATTCCTAATTTGCACTAAAAGAAAAAATCATAACCATCAACTAGATAATCAATGGCTGTGATTATGTAGTGGTCCCTCCACTATTTTTTTTTGTAGTGGAGAGGATCCGAATCCATATCTAAATTAACCAGAAATATGATGTTTAATTTCTTTGAATAGCCTATTAATTTAAAAAATGGTTATTAACATCTGATACATCATATTAATTTAAGTATTTATACCTACCACTACTTTTACTTATTTTTCGCTTAATCTTGATTTCTTTTGCCATTTTTTTAGGAATCTGTCATCCCTTATAGTCAATGGTGATATTTAACCATGTGCATCCCACCTAGTACGCATGAATATATGTGCATACGCAAGGAGTGTCAGTGTCTGATACAAGTACAATTCATTAAGGATACAAACACAAGTTGATGGTAGAAGTAACAGGCAGCATAGCTAGCCATCTATATACTATTACTTAAAACTGTTACCCTTCAAAACGCCACTTGGCAAAAATGACACGTGGCAAATTCTGATTTTTCAAATTTCCTTAAAAAAATCGCAGTTATATCAAAAAAATTGCAGTCATTGCTCCCATCTACTTCTGCAATTCTGCAATTAATGCTCCCATCTACTTCCGCAATTTCCAAGCACATTAATTGAATCAATTTCCAAACATCTATATTCTTCTGCAATTAATTGATTTTTTTTTAAATTCCAAGCATTCATTTCCAAAGCTCCCATCTAACACAATTTCTTTAAACAATGCATTCAATTTGATGCTTTCGTTTTCAAAGCATTCAATCAATTAGCATTCAATTTGATCCTTTAAACGATGCATTCAATCAATTAATTGCATTTGATACCGCCTCTTCGTCTCCGTTCTCCTTATCCTCTCCCTCCTCCCGCTCCTCTCCTCTGCCGGCCGCCCCTGCAAGAGCCTCTTCATCTCCTACTACACCACCACCACCAACTCGGCCACCACGTCATCCCTCTCCGACCGGCACGCGGGCCCCACCTCCCGCTTCTACGCCGTCTACCGCATCGCCCCCCTCGACCGCCGCCCTGCCCAACACCTGCACCGTCGCACCCTGCCCGTCTCCCGCTCCGTCTCTTTGATCACTAACTAAGTTCATAAAGATCACTTTTTCCATTTTCAATCTTCGCACGTATCTCTATGGCTACTGATCTTAAATTTGAAGCCTTGAAGGTGCTCTTCTTCTCAAATTCCCTAATAATTTTATTTAATTTGGTTTGAAAGATTTTAGTTGTCAGGGATCAGAGCATCAGGAATTGAAGCAGCTGACATGTTGGGTGAGATGGAGTTAGGTGTACAGGGAGCTGGAGGAGATGAACGATAAGTGCATTGAGAACCAGGCTTACAGGGGACTGTTTTGCAAAACTTTGAAGTCCAGGGTACTTGTAATAAATGTCCAAAGTCTGTTAAGTTTGTTACAACAGATGTCCAAAGTCTGTTAAGTTTGTTACAAACAGTTAAAGTTGTTTTTGATTAGTTGTAAGCTTGTGCACGTTTCTGTGCACGTTTCCTTATTCTGGCTGTTTGAGTATCAGTATAAAAGAGAGAAATGTAATCAGAGAAAAATATAAGAAAAACTTTGATTTCTCTTCTTCAATTCAATCTCATCATTCTCTCTTCTATCTCAATTTCTTTTCACTCTCTATTCTTAAGAATCTGTAGTTTCTGTCATGGCCAGAAACAGCAATCTGAGATCCAACCGAGGCTCTCGAGCCTCACAATTGGTATCAGAGCAGGTTGAGGCTGAAGCAGGCGCTGAAGAATTCATGGGGAATCACGATGGAGCTTCAGCAGACGAGGGAATGCAGCTGGGAGTTCAATTGGAAGAAAACATTTCCAGTCGGAGGTTCTTCAACCAAATGAATCGCATGGAGGAGACCCTTAACCAACAAGGACTCATCAATCAAACAGTGATGGCAAGATTGTAAGAATTAGGTTCTCAATTGCAAGAACTCAAGAGCACCAAGGATCAGGCAACTCTGAGTTCATTAAACAATGGAGTGAGAATCAATCAAGGAATCTTGGGGGCAGGGTCCAGAGATGAACGTGGGATTCCTGGATCAGGCAATAATAATCAGACTCATGAGAATAATCCTCAAACACAGAGAAGGATTGATTTGTCTGGTGAATGTCCCCCAACTCCTAGCCAAAATCATGGTAATTTCTTGAACCACAAGAATTCCTTTTTTAGTAATCAGAAATTAGTTCAACCGAAATCTCTGAGACTAGATTTTCCATCTTTCTCTGGTTCTGAGAATGTGATCTCTTGGTTGGAACAAATTGAGCAAATATTTGATTACTATGATATCAAAGAGGATGAGTGGGTTAAGGTCTGTTCTTTTTATCTAAGGGATGAGGCCCTACAGTGGTTTAGATGGTTTACAAAAAATCTTGACTACTATAATCACTGGAAGGTCTTTAAAGAAGAGATCATTACCAGGTTTGGGCCTAGTGAGCTCCTCAGACCATATGACACATTCTCAACTATGAAGCAAACATCTACTGTGAGGGAATATTTGGGGAAATTTGAACAAACTTTAAGTCTATTAGATGATCAACCCTCAAAACGTCACATATTGGAAAAATTTATAGGGGGTTTGAAGGATGAGTTGAGGTATGAGGTAGCTGCTGCGAGACCCTCATCTCTGAAAGGAGCAGTATCCTTGGCCAAGTTATTTGAGGATAAACAAAAAACATCTCTGAAAGGAGCAGTATCCTTGGCCAAGTTATTTGAGGATAAACAAAAAAATGAGAAGAAAGTTAGAGGTAATTGGAATGTCTTTAATCAAGGCCAAGTTATTTGAGGATAAACAAAAAAATGAGAAGAAAGTTAGAGGTAATTGGAATGTCTTTAATCAAGGCAGTCCTGCAACTCGTACATCTATCGAGACTCTTGTTCAAGAAAGACTGAAATCAAGTCCACAAGTCAAGAAGCTCACTCCTGAAGAAATTCAAAGAAGAAAAAGTCAGAATATCTGCTTCACTTTTGACGAAAAATGGCATAGGGGACATCAGTGCAAGGATAAGCGCTTGTTCATATTGGAGGGCATCATGACAGGAGTTACGGAGGAAGATGTCAATGACTCCTTAGAAGAGGAAGCTGGACATGTAGCAGTTGAATTGGCTGAAAGCTTAGTGAGAGGGGCTCCATCTATCTCTGTGCAGGCTCTTAGTGGAATAACAGCTTCCCATACCATTAGAATAGTGGGTTATTATAAAAATCAAGCCATTAGCATCTTGATAGACTCTGGCTCCACCCATAATTTTATCAATTCCAAATTAGTCAAGAAACTGGGCCTGACAGTGACAGAGTATAGTAACTTTGATGTCTTGGTAGCCAGTGGAGAGGTAATCAAGGGAACTGGGGTATGCCAAGAAGTTTCACTTGATTGTCAAGGGGTAAATATACAGGTCAATTTGTTAGTAATGCCTATGGGAGGCAGCCAGATTGTATTGGGTGCAGATTGGATGAAGACTTTAGAGGACATCACATTGAATTTCCAAAAATTACAAGTGACATTCTTAAGTGATGGAATCAAAAGAACCTTGCAGGGGGAAATTCCAGGAGAAATGTAATTAGTCAATGAAAAAAGCATTGCCAAATCAGTTAGAGAACAAGGACAAGGGTTCCTGATTCAATTGTGTAGTGTAAGTCTGCAGGAATCAAAATGGGAGGGCTTCAGTGAAGAATTACCTGAAGACATGCATCAGTTGATTCAAGAATTTGATGTGATTTTCCAGGAATTGCCACACCTTCCTCCTGCCAGAGAAATAGACCATCGAATTCCACTTGAGCCTGGAACAAAGCCAGTATGTATCAGACCTTACAAACATGCACACTTTCTGAAGGAAGAAATTGAAAAGCAAATTGAAGAAATGTTAAAAAGGGGAATCATTAGACCCAGTCATAGTCCCTTTTCTTCACCCGTAGTCATGGTTAAAAAATCAGATGGGAGCTGGAGATTGTGTATAGATTACAGAACTTTGAACAAAGCCACTGTTAAAGATAAATTCCCTATACCAGTCATATGAGCTTCTTGATGAGCTCCATGGGACACAGTTTTTCACCAAGTTAGATTTGAAATCTGGTTATCACCAGATAAGAATGTATGAACCTGATATTCAGAAAACTGCATTTAGAACTCACAGTGGACACTTTGAATTCTTGGTGATGCCATTTGGTCTTACGAATGCTCCTTCAACATTTCAGGCTCTCATGAATACCCTCTTTAAAAGTTTACTCAGGAGGTCTGTTCTGGTCTTTTTTGATGATATTCTGGTCTATAGTAAGGGGTGGCAAGATCATCTAGTGCATTTGAAGCAAGTTTTCCAAATTATGAAGGACCACAAATTAGTTGCAAAGCTGTCCAAATGCAGCTTTGGACAGAAAAAAGTTGAATATCTTGGGCATGTTGTGTCACAAGAGGGGGTTAGTGTAGACCCCAAGAAAATTCAAGCTGTAGTGGAGTGGCCTATTCCCAGATCACTCAAGGCATTGCGAGGATTCCTAGGTCTGGCTGGATATTATAGGAAATTTATCAAAAATTTTGGAACAATAGCCCAGCCTTTAACACATCTTTTAAAGAAGGGTCGGTTTGGTTGGAATTCAGGTGCAGAGATTGCTTTTAAAACCCTGAAGGAAGCATTAACAAATTCTCTAGTCTTAGCTATGCCTGACTTCACTTTACCATTTGTGATTGAGTGTGATGCATCTGGTACAGGAGTTGGGGCTGTGTTGATGCAGAGGGGAAGGCCAATAGCATACTTCAGTTTTGCCCTAAAAGGAAATAATGCTACCCTGTCTACTTATGAGAAGGAATTGTTAGCTATAATCCTCTCCACTAGAAGGTGGCAACAATATTTACTTGGTAGAAGTTTTGTTATAAGGACTGACCACCAGAGCCTCAAATATATTCTTGAGCAAAGAATTCAGGCAGGAGTCCAGAATAAATGGCTTGCTAAACTACATGGATATGACTATGTGGTAGAATACAAACCAGGGAGAATGAATAATGCTGTAGATAGTTTATCCAGAATTCATGAAGAAGAAGTGGAACTTTCAGCCATTTCTATGGTCAATAATGACTGGTTGAAGGAGATCAGGACTTTATGCACTGAATATGCTTTCTATAAAGAACTTGATGAGAAGCTACAGCAAGGGCAAGTGAGCACTGAGGAGTATTCCAGAAAATGCTTTCTATAAAGAACTTGATGAGAAGCTACAGCAAGGGCAAGTGAGCACTGAGGAGTATTCCAGAAAAGAAGGCATCTATTACTATAAAGGCAGAGCTACAGCAAGGGCAAGTGAGCACTGAGGAGTATTCCAGAAAAGAAGGCATCTATTACTATAAAGGCATGATTTTACTCAGTCCTCGTGCACATGAATTGAAGACTGCATTATTGGAGGAACATCATAATAGTCCTACTGCAGGTCATTCTGGTATTACCAGAACATTACACAGATTGAGGAGGTCTTTTTACTGGGCAGGAATGAAAAAAGATGTCCAAAAACATGTACAATCTTGTGATACCTGCCAAAGAGCTAAGGGAGAAAATGTGGCATCCCCAGGCCTCCTACAACCATTGCCTATTCCAGAGTATATCTGGGAAGATTTTTCCATGGATTTTATCACAAATCTACCAAAGAGTGGGAATCAATCTGTGCTGTTTGTTGTGGTTGATAGGTTATCAAAGTATGCACATTTCTTTGCCTTAGCACACCCCTACAATGCTCAAATTGTTGCTCAAGTATTCTTTGATGGAGTGTTTAAACTCCATGGAATGCCAAAATCCATAATTAGTGACAGGTATCCCTTGTTTACTAGCTCATTTTGGAAGGAACTCTTCAAATTGCAGGGGAGTCAGCTTAAGTTCAGCTCAGCATATCATCCACAGACTGATGGACAAACTGAGATAGTTAATAAAAATCTGGAGTGCTATCTGAGGTGTTTTTGCTGTCACAAGCCAAGGGAATGGAGTAAATGGTTGTCACTGGCTGAGTTTTGGTATAATACTACATGGAAGGTTTCAACAAATACTACACCTTTTGAAGCAGTTTATGGCCGACCTCCTCCATCATTACTCTCATACATTCCCAAGAGTTGTAAAGTGGAGTCTGTAGATTCAGTTCTCTTCTCCAGAGATATAACCTTACAGTTTCTTAAGGACAGCTTAAAGAAAGCAGCAGAACATATGAAGAGATTTGCTGATAAGCATAGGAGTCCCAGAAATTTTGATGTTGGAGAATGGGTATTTCTTAAGCTTCAGCCTATAGACAATTGAGTGTCTCTTCCTACAAGACTCACAAGCTTTCCCCAAAATTCTATGGGCCTTACCAGATCTTAGAAAAAATTGGTGAGGTTGCCTACAAGCTACAGCTTCCTACTCAGGCACAGATTCATCCTGTGTTTCATGTCTCCCAACTTAAGAAACGAATAGGAGCTGATATTACAATTCAAAGTGATCTTCCCAGCTATGTTGCTAAGCTGGTTGATGAACCTGAAAAGATATTGGACAGGAGATCTATAATTCAAGGGAGGAAGTTAGTATCTCAGGTTTTAGTCAAGTGGAAGCAGCGTTCTTCCTTAGATTCTACTTGGGAACCTTATTGGGATCTTGTCAAGCGATTCCCTGCTTTTGACCTTGAGACAAGGTCCAATTTAAGGGGAGGGGAACTGTCAGGGATCAGAGCATCAGGAATTGAAGCAGCTGACATGTTGGGTGAGATGGAGTTAGGTGTACAGGGAGCTGGAGGAGATGGACGATAAGTGCATTGAGAACCAGGCTTACAGGGGACTGTTTTGCAAAACTTTGAAGTCCAGGGTACTTGTAATAAATGTCCAAAGTCTGTTAAGTTTGTTACAACAGATGTCCAAAGTCTGTTAAGTTTGTTACAAACAGTTAAAGTTGTTTTTGATTAGTTGTAAGCTTGTGCACGTTTCTGTGCACGTTTCCTTATTCTGGCTGTTTGAGTATCAGTATAAAAGAGAGAAATGTAATCAGAGAAAAATATAAGAAAAACTTTGATTTCTCTTCTTCAATTCAATCTCATCTTTCTCTCTTCTATCTCAATTTCTTTTCACTCTCTATTCTTAAGAATCTGTAGTTTCTGCCATGGCCAGAAACAGCAATCTGAGATCCAACCGAGGCTCTCGAGCCTCACATTAGTTCTCATAGATTAGATTCTTGATACCTAAATTCTCAGATTTCTTTTCTTTGAGCAACTAGATTAGTAAATTATCTTAAATCACCTTAGGTGTATGTGTTTATATAATAGTATTCCGAACTTTACAATTTAGAACAATTGCAGAGTCTTTACATGTCTTTTGTGATTGCATTCTATGCTTTGAGGTATTTTTTCTATTTTCTTTAGCACACTTATTTGGACTATTGAATTTATGTTTGATGTGTATTTTGTGCATCTCTTTGCAAATTTCTTTGGAATTATTGCAACATGTGTTGTAAAGGCATCATTAAACTGCTGCTAACTGTAATTTTGGTATGATGCTTTGGTTAGTAATTATTGTTCTTCTGAAGAAAGCTATGGTTTATTCTATATGTGGCGTGGCTATTGCTCAGACCATTTTTGGGGACATGAAAAGTGGAATTTGTTTGTTTTTTTGCTTAGGCCGATCCCCATTAAATTGATATCATATTGTAAGGTTCTCAAACAACATTCATTTGATTAGTTACATTAGACTGCTTAGTCCAATGTTCCTTAATGTAGTCGTCAATATTGTTATCACCACTTCTGACATCCTATACACTATACATCAGTCAATATTTTGATGGTTAAATCTCTCTTTCTTCCCTGAGGGAGCCATAAAGTTTCTCTTCCTTTGAGTTGGTTGTCCGTGGTTGTTTAGAATTGATTTTGATAATGATCACAAAAACTGTTATTAGGTACCCCCATTATTAAAATTAAACCTTCACATTATTGAAATCGTTATTAGGCCACCAATTTTCGTAAGGTGATTTAAATAACCCCTCGAAATGCTACTTCTGCTCTTAATTGGAGGTTAGGCCACCAATTTTCGTAAGGTGATTTAAATAACCCCTCGAAATGCTACTTCTGCTCTTAATTGGAGGGATTGATTTGAAACAACTACTGAGAATTTGGGAAACTTTTATTAATTTTAATAAAACAAGGGGCTAATTTCGATATTATTTAGGAATAAGAACACCTAATAGCAATTTCACTGATTTGAGAAACCAGTTTCAAAATATTAAATATTTAAGGGACTAATATTAACTCTTGGTATTATTTCTTGCTCATCTTTATTTAATTCTAATAGTATTTCATAGATGAATGAATTCTAAATATTCGGTTCACTTCTGCAACTAATCTTTTAGAAATCGTGCTTAGTAATTATGTATGACTAGGAATGCGTTGCCTTATTCTTCATGAAATTCTTAACATTTTGTGGGAATTTGTAGGATTTGAGCTTACCGTTTGTGATTCAGATTTATGTAGGATTGAGATATGTCACAATATATGATGCAACCTGTGAGGATGCAGTCAGTGTATGTAAGCATATAATTTCCTAGATGTATTTACTTATTTTAGCAGTTTTGAAGTTCTCACCTTTGTGATTTAGATTTTCTTGGACATTTGAATTTTATGTTATTTTCAAAAAAAAAATCTTTGGTCAAGTAATGTTTTTTTATCAATTTATTCAGATTTTAAGTTGACTTCATCATATTTCTAACTGCAGACTATATTTTTTTTATCAATTTATTCAGATTTTAAGTTGACTTCATCATATTTCTAACTGCAGACTATATTGGATATGATACTTCATAAAAATGAACTGCAGACTATATTGGATATGATACTTCATAAAAATGTTATCTGGAAATGTCAAAGAAAAAGATTTTTAAAAACAATTAATAATCAGACGTATTTAAGCCTTGATTTATTTTTAATATATTGTTCATGATAGTGATTCATAAGAAGGACCCAATATGAAATTATTTAATCTCTAACTTTAATATAAACTTTTGTGCTGTTTTTATTGATCAATGATCATATATAATTAAATTTAAAATTCGATATATAAGGGGGAATAAGCTAATTAGGAAATTTATAGACTTAATGGTTGCTTACTTGATGGATCGATTGTCCATTCTTTCCCTTTTGGTTGCACATAGATTTTCTTATGTACAATGCTTCTCTCTCCTTTGTACTATATGATCATAGTTTTGCTCTTCTACCAGCTTCTTTTGCCTTCTATTTTGTTATTTGTGGGATATAGATTTTTGCCATTATGGACTGGAAATGATTATTTATGTAGTGTTGTTTTCTAATTCTCATTAGTTGATGAAATCAGATGTTTTTATTTTTTATTTTCTATAATTTCATTGGATTTTTGCAGTTTAATTAGTTGAGTCTTTACTTAAGGTGTGATGGTTCTGAATTTATTTTTACACTATGTTCTACTCTATTTGCAACATGTCTACATCTTGCCTTTTTTTGGTTTTGGATGTGTGTATACCGAAACCTGAAAATGAAATCAACAAGCAGCTGAAAACTGTTCTAAACTATATATGCATGTCTCTTTGATGTTCATTGATATATCCACTTATCAATGCAATTTTATAAATTGTTAGGTAAAGTCTTCTATATGTTGTAACTTGTCTTCACAGTAGCATGTATCTTAAGATATTTCTAGAGATAGTTTAATCTCTATATATAATAAACTATATTTATGATTTACTCTCTGGATAATGAAGTATACCCTATTAGATATGCTGAAGATTTTTTTATAAACTATATTTATGATTTACTCTCTGGATAATGAAGTATACCCTATTAGATATGCTGAAGATTTTTTTGGTATATTTATTTTTTAAGATTTAAGTGGATAATGAAGTATACCCTATTAGATATGCTGAAGATTTTTTTGGTATATTTATTTTTTAAGATTTAAGCAAATGACACATAATTAAGCTAATCTTTTATATGTTGTAGCTTTTCTAGATATTGGTATATTACTTAAACAGTGGTTATTTTACAATTGTTGCATGGTTAAAGAGTTGTTTGGAAACATTGCAGCCCACTGTTCTTTTGGATTGTTCCCTAAGTTTTGAATCTTGACAGAAACTATATAGCATGTGTAAGTGAATCTGATTGAATATTGCTTGAATATTTATTCATTTTTCTTTAATAGAGATTAATTATTGAACAATTTTAATGATTGTTGCTTCAAAACTTTTCTTCTTATGAATATTACTGAATATCTACTCTATTTTATTTTAACAAGAACCGTTTATGATTTTATTGAACACTGACATGTCTACTCTTTTACTCTTCTTCAAGAACAGTTCATGTGTTACTTTTTCAAGAGCCCTTAATGACATTTTTCTATGTGGAAAAATATTGACAAATCCGTGCATCACACGGGTCTGAAACTAGTAGTAGCTTAATCAATAACCCATAATTAAAATGTGTCCCCATAATCATGGACATAATCGATGGGTGAGAATATTCCAACTAGTTATATACGAGGTAAATTTCAGTTAATCCCTCCCTGCATACGAAAACCGGCGTGGTTAGCTAGGTCGACAAACACGAAGCATGTAGAATCGTATATCAACATCATCTCCAAATTAAGCAACAGACAACATGACAAAAATTGGGTCAGGGCTCGAACGAAAACATTGGGAGAGATAACACGAGGATCAGCACACCTACCAGCTTCGCATGGATATTGCTGCCTCCAGCCATCGCCGTGGGAGACCCGAGGGAACAATATCAACACCCCTCCGGAGAGATAACAGGAAGTAGTAAGAGGAAGCAGGGATAGGAATCAAATATATATATAGCGACTGAAACTAATAATAGAAGAAGAAGAAGAAAGAGAAAGAGGGAAGAAGAATGGTAGGTGGTTTCGAGAAGTAGTAGTGTCTCTTTGACCGGTGGGTCTCCTGTGGTTTCCCGCATCTTTCCTTCTCTTCTTCGCCCCTTCGGAGAGAGGCGAGAGCTCGGATTCCTTCCGCTTGAGCTTCAGACAAAAGCCCAACAGCTGCCCCTTGTTGGGGGTGGGCTAGAATTGGGCTTAACCCGGCCGCATCTGAACGGGGCTGCGATTAAGAGATGAGGACAATCTAAAAAATTGTAACATACTATTCAACCCTTGTTTTGAATTTTGCTTTCAACCTCGTTTCACTTTGATACCCCCATAGTAGGGCTGAGCATGGTTCGGTTCAAATCGAAAAAACCGACCGAACCGACCCGAAAAAAGCGGTTTTTTGAGTAAGGCGGTTCGGGTCGGGTTGACAACTTTTCAAACCGACCCGACCCGAACCGACCGAATATATTCCCAAAAGCCTCAAACCCTACCCGTTTACCCGACCCGTCCCAAACCCTCAACCCTAACCTCATTTCCTCTCAGACTCCCAGTCCCAGACGCCGCTACTCATTCCCAATTTCCCATTTCCCTCAATCGCTCTCTCTCGCTCTCTCTCACTCTCCTCAGCCGACAGCCGCCACCCGCGACAGCCGACAGCCGCGGTCCGCCTCTCTCACTCTCTCTCACTTTCCTCAGCCGACAGCCACGGTCCGCTTCTCTCACTCTCTCTCGAGAAGCTGAAATTGGAAGGGGAGATGACTTATTCGATCGCCATAGCTTTTCTTTAGCTGTCGGTGATTGGGTTCGTGCTTGAGTTCATCTTCACTCAGAAAAATGATGGCTGAATCGTTGTTGCTTATTTGCCATGGTAAATCCTTTATCTTCTTCTTGAATGCAGCTTAATTAGCTAAAAAGTGAGTTTCTGACGAATAAGTACATTTGGGTCTATAACGCACTGGACAAAAATCTTGTAATGAACTCCTCATTAGGTCATTCTTCGGTCTTGTAGCTTCTGAATGCTGGTCAAGCATGAAAATCCCAAAAATAATTCCTTTTTTTTCTAATTTCTTATTTCTAATTCATTTGTATTTGTATTTTTTCTGATCAAATCTAAGATAACTCATGGGGGTTTTGTTTTTTATTAGCATAAAGCTTCAGACAAAAACACCCAATGATCTGGGTTGTTTCTGTCAAATATAAGACGGTGCTTATATATTTGTGCATTTGATTGTTATACTTGATGAAGTTAGAACCGAACAAACCGAACCGAACCGCACCGAACCGATTTGCAACGGTTCGGTTCGGTTTTGAATTGTAGGAGGTTTGGTTCGGTTCTTCAAATTTTGGTAAAAACCGACCCGAACCGAACCGTGCTCACCCCTACCCCAGAGTATTCCTTTAAGAGCTTTGGTACCCAAAGTCCCACTCACATTTCATTTTGATACCCCCATCTGAACTATGCGAGATTTTCGAGTAAATTAAAATTACATCCTCAGCATGAGATCGATACATTTAGGCCCTTTTTATCTAGTTGCTACGTGCGTGATTCAAAATTTACAATAAAATCTAACACAACCTAGATAGAGGCATCATAGTATGAGATTCAAAACTTTTGGGATATCAAAGTGTAAAAAAAAAATCTAGAGTATCAGGGTAAAACAGGAACGCAACTCTAAGGTATCAAAGTGTTAGGAAAATGCTCCGGGGTATCAAAGTGAAGAGGCGGATGAACTTTGGGGTACCAAAGTGAAAATAAGGTTTTGTTTAATTTTACTGATTTTAGGGGTACCAAAGGGAACTGATTGTAAAAAAAAATTCAAAAAAAACTATATTATGAGTATAAAGGGAATCTAACTAAAAAATAAAAGAGCATGAAAATAAATCTACACCACAAAGCATAAAATAAATCTACTCTACCAACATAAAAATAAAAACAAGAAAATAAAATTCTAAAACATGCAATTCTAAAATAAAAATAAAACGGGAAAATGAAAACTTACACTAACTACAAAATAAGAAAATATAAGAGAACAAAAACCTATAATATGAGTATAAAGGGAATCTAACTAAAAAAATAAAAGAGCTTGGAAGTAAATCTACACTACAAAGCATAAAATAAATATAATCTACTAACATAAAAATAAAAATAAAAAAATAAAATTCTAAAACATGCAATTCTAAAATAAAAATAAAAAGGGGAAATGAAAAGTTACACTACAAGGGGCTAACCCTTTGAAGGAAAATCTTCATTTTCATCAACAAAGAAGAAGAAAAGAAAATTTAAAAGGAGAAAAAAATTTATTTCTTATAAATAAAAATTTATAATTTTAAAAGGTCTTCTCAATTAAGAGTAACATTCCCCTTTAAATGGAGTTTTTATAATATATATAGAGAATGACGGGTATGAGGTGGCGGCTCATTTTGCTACATGAACGACTTTGTTATGAGCTTTGAGCCAATGAATCCTAATCAAATTGGGCTTAGGTCATTAAGTATAAAAATATTTCTTGGGCTTAATTGTTCAATCAACTTAGGCTTAGAAAGATAGAATAATCACTTTGGAGTTCAAAATTTTTATTGATGCCCATTGTTTGTGTTTTTTTTTTTTTTTGAGTTAGCGTGTGTGTGTGTGTGTGTATGTACATATAATGTTTATAATTATGGGAAAAAATATTTATTGCAAGTAAAATGTTATAATTTTATTTATTGCAAATAAAATGTTTATAATGTTATTGCAAATAAAATGTTATAATTTTAGAAAAAAATATTTATTGTAAATTATTTATTACATATAATGTTTATAATTTTGGAAAAAAATTATTTATTGTGTTTTTTTTTGAGTTATAGCTGTGATCAAAAGCAATTTGTCGTGCTGCCCAAAAATGCGGTCGAACTCCATTTTTTTTTGAGTTATAGCTGTGATCAAAAGCAATTTGTCGTGCTGCCCAAAAATGCGGTCGAACTCCATATTTAATTTGCTTTATAAAGCAATATGTATAGGATCACTTCAAGGGTTGGTTACTGCTCTAAAGGAAATGAATGAGATTAATTTACTATCAAAGAAAGGTGAAACAGGAACTGACATTAGGTGAACAACTGAATTTATTTTCCCTTTTACTCTTGAAAATATAAACAATATTCTTTGCACTTGACTCTATGTGCTACAATGTCAAGGAGAGAGCAACAGTGGGAGAGCTCTACAACGTAAAGGGGAGAGAGAATGGGAGAAACCCTCGAACTTTTAATTACAACAAACCCCCTAAGCTACCATTTTAGATATATTTTTGTCATATTCTCTTAGAATTTGCATAAATGTACAATTACACAATAATCTAAAAAATGTGGGGTTTGGCGATAAGGGCATAGAAACATGCACAAAATTTACAAGAGAACAACTTTCAAGTTATAGTATAGAAATTATATGTCAAACCCAAAAGGAATGTGTGTGCTTACAAATTTTAAATTTGATTCTAGAAATGAGTGGACAAAGAGGAGTGAAATAGAGTGAGGAGAGAGGAAATTGTCACAAAATAAATAAAAAAACTAAAACAAGAGAGGAGAAGAGATAAGGAGGGGAGGAGAGAGGAAATTGTCACAAAATAAATAAAAAAACTAAAACAAGAGAGGAGAAGAGATAAGGAGGGAAAAAATAAAAAGAAAAGAAAACAAAGATGAAACTAAAAAAGCAAAAAAGAAATAGAATCAAGCAAATAAATAGAAGTGGGAACAAAATAAAATTAAGAAAAGTGAAATCAAGAGAGAAATCAAATCTAGAAAGAGGAAGGTAAAACAGGTAGACAAATAAGAAATCTTGAATTGAATTCACCAATTAATTTTATTTAGAATTTATGAACTACTCTCTTTTTATCATATTTTACTTTAGATTTACTACACATATATTAACAAAACACTAAAATAAAGCATAATCTATCAAATTATCATCCAAGCAAAATTTTTATTCATGAAAAAAATAAATAACTAGATAATAATACAAGAATTCATAAGGATGACCTATCAAACCACTCAAGATAAGCATAGATTATCAAAATTTTCTTCTATCAATTAATTCTCTAGTTGATTATCCTAAAGATGATCAATTTAATCATAAAGAGAGCAATTCATAAATCATAAAAGAAATTAAACTAGTTTCATACAATTCTAGAATTCCTACATGAATTAGTTACTCATTTTGCAAAATAAAAAAAAGGAAATAAAATTTATACTATAAAGCATAAACAAACAAAAAAATAGTTCTAAACTACAAGTAAGAAAATAAAAACTAACTACAAATTAAAAAAGGATAAGAAAACAAAAACATATATTGTGAGTATAAAGGGAATCTAACCAAAAAATAAAAGAGCATGAAAATAAATCTACACTACAAAGCATAAAATGAATCTAATCTACCAACATAAAAATAAAAACAAGAAAATAAAATTCTAAAACAAAAAATAAAAGGGGAAATGTAAACTTACACTAACTAAAGAATAAAAAAAGATAAGTGAACAAAAACCTATACTATGAGTATAAAGGGAATCTAACTAAAATAATAAAAGAGCATGAAAGTAAATCAACACTATAAAGCATAAAAATAAATATAATCTACTAACATAAAAATAAAATAAGAAAATAAAATTCTAAAACATGCAATTCTAAAATAAAAATAATAGGGGGAAAGGAAAACTTACACTACAAGGGGCTAACCCTTTGAAGGAAAATCTTCATTTTCATCAACAAAGAAGAAGAAAAGAAAATTTAAAAGGAGAAAAAAATTATTTATTGTAAATAAAAATTTATAATTTAAAAGGTCTTCTCAATTAAAAGTAACATTCCCCTCTAAATGGAGATTTTATAATATAAATAGAGAATGATGGGTATTATGTGGCGGCTCATTTTGCTAAATGAGCTATCAAGAGATATAGTGATGAGGTCCACACCTTTTGATGTGACTAACAATGTGGGTCTTACCATACTTACCATATAGTTATCCCTTGATAGCTTATTTAGCAAAATAAATTGTCACCTCATTATATATACTATATATATATATATATATATATATATTATATATATATATATATATATATATTATATATATATATATATATATATATATATATGTATATATATATATATATATATATATATATATATATATATATATATATATATATATATAT